ACTCTGTTCAAGTTTCTACCCATCATCATACACATTAAAATAGATGGAGCTGTTTTGGCATTATTTTTCTCATATTTCTAGCATAACTGATATTCCTACACAAAGTAAAAATTGGAATCGAACGTCTGTAACCTAGACACAAACAATCCACCAAGATAAGTTAAAACAATCTTATTCCACATTTCCAATAACTCAGAAGAATAAAGCATACATAAACCAACTCATTTTAAGAACTGCCTACCACCAAACTGTGCCCAGTGATATTTCTCCACCATTTTTTGGATCACATCCAGTGTATCAATCACTTCTTTGTACAACGCATCGGAAGTAGGTAACACATTAATGGAGTGTTACATATCATAAACAAATTATCTAAGTCGGAAATAAAAACAATCGGATGGGGAATTTGTTGAGATGCTTGAGGCTATTACGAGTTCACCTTCCTCGGTAGATGGAACGAAGACCAACGATGCAGTGACACGATAAGTTATTCTAATCCGATTGTCCCAGGCCCCGCTAACTAGATCAAGAAGTCTTGATAAGACGTAGAGAGAATCTATTCACAAGCCCCTAGAAAATACCAGGTCCACAAGCACACAACTCAAGCTTATTTACACAATAATAGCAACGCCCTTGGTGAGAGTCACAAAATAGCGTACTTAAATAATCCATAAACCAATGACAGTCAAGGTCGACTAAGTGACTCTGGCGCGAAAACATAAATATTCAAAAGTTCAGAAATCAGTTACAAAATTAGGACTTTTTCCAAGTGAGTTCTGGGGATCTAACGTCCCCAACATTTTTCTACTTTGTTAAGAAATAAAATCTCACTGAACGAACTAATTAACTATTTGATCAGTAACCTTCTATAAGTAGTGCTTTTTTAAAAAAACTCTTCATATTTTCATTATACTACAATTTTAAATAAAGGAACTCAAATTCTTCTCAATATCTTTTAGTGTATACACTGATTAGACATTGAATTGATGAAAAATGTATCTATAATCCACATAAACCAACTAGTTTTGTATATCTTTAGACGCTTAACAGTAAAATAATTGAAATAAAAAAGTTTTCTTTCTGAAATATTTCAGTGAACTTCAACGAAGTAGTTATGAGAAGACTGAGGTAGGCGAAGAAGATTGTATTATGCAAATTTACACTCTTAGTCAATTAAAAACGAAAACATTACATTGAACATTCTATTTGCACACCATCTTTAAGTCGTGACTTCCAACGCTCCATTCTTCTTCCATTCCTGTTGTTGCTTCCTTTACTTCCTGTTGGTACTCCATTTACTTTTTGCTTTTGCTCCATTTGCTTTCCGTTTTCCTCTTCTGACCGTCAGACTTCTTCTTTCACGTCCCTTCTTATACTACTTATATCGTTCGTATAAGTAGCACACACCACAGTTACATTACCATTTCAAAAAACAAACAATGATTAGTATAATCGGTAATAATATTCAAATCAACATTCCCCATTACACTTCTCATCCTATGACCTAGTAAAGTTCAGATAATTATTATTCCACAAACCCATTATCCCTTGTTCATCATATATCACACTGATAGCTTATATAATCTTGTTTCCTCACTAGACAATCTCTAATTAGTTCAACCTAAGCTCTAAAATGAATAAATTTGCATATAATATCTATCATGAAAATAAGTGATTTGGGTTTCATCATTGTGTGTATACATGCATAGATAAAGTTCAAATTGTAAATTGGTTTTTACAGAGTGAACAATTATTAAAGATATAAACCTATTGAGACGATTGGTCAATCTAAGAAATTATCTGACAAATAATGATTTAATCCAAATGGCAAAAGATGCTTTTTTGCACAAATACACTTATTTATTTAATACATATTAATATATAAGACAGTTTTAAAGTACGTATTGATAACTAAAAAAGTACAATAACAGACAAAATGGGAACCAAATTTAGCATACTTTCATCAACAGGAATTGATTTCCATGAACAAATTACCAAGAGACTTTTTAAACATGACAAGGCAAAATTAGATCAATCTTGTCAATCCACTGGAAAACAATTCATATGTTATCCAAAAGACAATATTGATGACAAGAATGATGAACATTGGATTCAATCAATTGATGAAAATGTGAAAAATAATCATGAAATTCAAAGTTTTCATTGTGATGAAAATTATCCTGATCAATTCCAATATGATACTAATGATGAATGTAAGTTTCTGTCAGTTTAATTCATACGAAAATGAGTAAATTTTTTTATCTGCATACTTTAGAAAAGATTACAAATTCATGTAATTATTTAAATAAATATAAAATTCAAAGTAATTCATATGATCAGTTGTCATGTATGAATAAATTTTCCAAACTAATTAATCCTGTTGGGGATGTTAGATCCCCAGAACTCGCTTGATAAATGCCTTATTTTGGATTTCACGTTTGCCAGCATGGGCTGATCAGTTGACCTTGAGATTTCATTTCCCACCAGGAAAATCCATGGCTGTGATTGACTGCTGTGTATTTTAGTGTGCTAATTTCGTAACTGTCCCAAGGACGTTTCTATGATGTATAAATAAACTAGAGTTGTATGCTTGATTGTATTGTGATTGCTGGGTGTTTGTAGAATATAATTTCTACGCTTACAAAGCCTTTTGTCTTCAGCTTGGGATTCAAGATAGCCTACCTGGATGCTGGTTCATTGTCTCGTTCGCGTTTATCGACTAGGGTGAACTCGTAATAGCCTCAAGCATACCTAGTGACGAACTCTAAAATCCCTTTAGAATTTTAACTTTTGTAGTAAACAAAAGAATATGATATTTATTTTGAAATTTTTAATGCAATGAAATATTCAAAAACGTTTTAGTAATTAAAACAAAACAAAATGTTCATTAAATGGATTAGGTAATGAACACCAGAATAAAAATCAAATTCTTATTTATACACATATGTATGTATTATAGATGGTGGATTTTAGCATGAATATTGATTGGTCAGAGTTAGACGTTAACATTGTTGGATACCGGTTCAATGGTCCAGGGGTTAAGCGTTCGCACGCAAGACTAAAAATCTTGAGTCATATTCCTAAGTGAGTATTGGATACGCGCTGCTGACGAGTCCCACAACAAGATGACACGGCTGTCCAGTGATTCCAGGTTTCTAATGGTGACCTAACAACGATTGATTGATGATTTCAATGTAGAATATTGAATTATCAATTAGGTATTTTATTTAAGACGAACTACTGTAATTATTTATGAATTTGAATTGCTACAAAAAGCAGTATTCTAGAAAATACTTTACAACTTAAATCTTATTAACTAAATCGCCTATATTCTTTGAATAAAACACCACAGAAATTTTGTAATCGTTTTTTAGTTGTATCGACGATCAAAATCTAATACTTTCTATATGCCTTAGAATAGATTAAGTCGATTAAGTCATCTATAGCAAACATTTTGAATAAATACTATGATGAAGACTGGTAGGCCTTAAATTCTATTATTTCTTATCTTGAATGAATTTGTCAGTCATTTTTAATAATATTTCACAGTAGAGTTGATATTTTGATCATTTCTTTTTTGAAATACAATTTCTCTGATAATAGTTTACAATGTTAGTTTGACGAATTAAAAATTTAATTCTTACATGTAATCATAGGTGATATATATATCCATATAGATTTTTTGATCTGTTGTTAACCTCATAAAGTACCAGAGAAAATGTAACTGTGTTACGCATAGACGTAAACACATCAATTTCATATGCTTGAATTATTACGAGTTTACCTTAGTCGAGAGCGAGGATCAAGGATCCGGCAACACAACATGCTACCTTAATCCGACTGTTCCTACGCCCCCTCATTGAGTAAAAAGAAGAAGACTTGATACGAAGTAGAACCTGTATTCTACAAGCATCCAGAAAGTACGAATTCCGAGTCCAGAAGAAAATCAGAATCCCGAACTAGGGATCCGGGTCCTGGTCCGAGTTCGGATCATAAAACTTTACAGATAATCCGTATTTATACAGTTACATTGAATAGGAACCAACATTGAAGTATGTAACTTTGGCAGTTAGGACGACCAATAACAACATTGAAGTATGTAACTTTGGCAGTTAGGACGACCATAATATTGACCAGTAAGAATTAACCAATAGGAATTGACCAATAGAACTAGACTTACAAATAATTCTCTTAGGATATTGGATGAATAGCCTAACAAGCTGAATAATTGATCTTATTCAAATAATATCAAATGAATAATAATTTATGCATCGTGAGATTGTCACCTCCCTAAAATGAATAGAGAATTATTGTATTTTATAATGTTGCATAGAACATTATTCTTGATAACGATAATTTTCTAATCTTCATTAAAGATTGTTTTATTGTTTACAGTTTCACTAGATAGATTATTTTAAAAAAAGATTAATTAGTTATTCAATAAAAAAACAAACGTTATTTGGTTCTTTCCCCGAATATCTTCTCTTGATTCCTTTTTATTGATTGTCTGAATCTTTCAGTTAAAGTAATAGATTGCAATTGTATGTACCATACAGACTGCCTTGATATTTTCACTAAGTCACAGGTATTTTTTAAGCAGAATTGGATGGTGTCTACATACCTATTCAAATAACACTTTGAGTGCTTGAATTGAAAGCTGATAGGTTCAAGTTCTCATATGATTATCAAAAATGGGATACAGGTGCATCCAACTGACTATCCCTTTAATTAAACAAAATAGAATGCTAGCCGCCATGTAACTCTGCTTAAAATAACATGTATTCTTTACAAAAGTTCTCATTATATTACTTTTATTTTCATCACAGATGAAACTAACAACGCAATACAAAGTTTCAAATCAGAACAAAGCAAACTTCAAATAGATGATGCTATGAAACAACAGAAATCTTATGATACTGCAAAAAACAATGATAACACCAATTCCAATGAGTGCGAACAATTTCTTCAACCTGAGAAACAATATCATGAAAGAATAATCAATAACTTGAATGAAAATCCAAACAGAATGTTACTTGATGACTTTGATAATAATAATAGTTTTAAAATAGATTATTTTAAATTACCAGAATATCCTAATTTATTAAGAAATGATTCATTTCTGTCAACATTATCAATGAATTCACTTTGTACTGAATCCATCCTAAATCGTAATGCACAAATGAATGATGATGAATTGAAAATTCAAGATCAACATCTTATTTCTAACATACAAAATCTAATCAATAATTTAAAATCTTCAATTGATAA